GCACTTTCTGTGGCCACTCCACCGCGAAGACAGGGTTTAATCGAGGGGACCATCTTGAGCGGAAGTCAACGTGGCGGGGCAGAGCCGATACTCGAGACGTCACGCACCGTAACCGCCGCATCCGTCACCCATCATGTCACGTGAGTTTGAGTTTGGTGGTCCCACTCGACAGCCTGCGCAGCACGCACATGTGGGATCACGTCAGGCCTTCACTTCGATGCAGCTTCATCTTGGACCGTCGGAGACCTCAGGTCCCGAATTCAGGACCGGAGAGGATGCTTAGAGAAGCTGGGAGGGGAGAGGAGGATGGGCTGACTTTGCAGACTTGGCACAGGAACTGACAGAAGCACCCCTCCTTCAGCAGCGATTGGTCCTCGCTGAGGCCTGAGGCGACAGGGAGAGACGAGAGGAGGGGAGGAGTGGAGGAGCATGTCAGAGTCTCTCTGAGAGGTGCTGGAACAGGGCGGCGCTTCGCCTTGCTTGGGGGAAGGGGAGTTCCTCTCCGGCGTGTGGCCGCCGCAAGAAGCGCCGAACGAGCGACGCTCCGCTCGTTCGGAGCCTGGGCCTCCGCCGCGGCGGCTCCGGGTCGCCGCTGTGCCGAGCTCGGAGCGCCAGGCGGCCTGGCAAAGGCGCGCCTCGGCGGCGCCTAAAGCGCAAAAAAGGAGGTCCCCGTGGTTGCTCGGGGGTGGAAGGGATAGAGGGATGCTCGGTTTCAGAAGAGGGATGCGGGATGCCTGCTGAGAGCTGTCGTGTCCAGAGGCGTGGGCTCGCGGCCCGCGGCCCTGGAGGAAGCACCCGACGTCATTCGGGACGATTTCGTCGTAGTATTGGAGGCATGGAAAGGGAGACGGGATGCACCTGGTTTTTCATGTTTTTTGGGCGACAGGCCGTCCGGTGCCGCGGAGAGGCTTTGCAGTTCGCTTCGGAGCAGCTCCGGAAGGACCGGACCTTGGTGCAGGCCGCCGTCCGCCAATCTGGTGCGGCCGCGAGGCGGCAAGAATTTTCAACTCCAAGCTTCTCCAGATCAGGCTCTCTTCAACTCTTCTTTCTGCTGCAATGTGCTTGTGCCAGTGAGGCCCTTCTCTACGCATCGGAAGAGCTGCGAAGAGACGGCGTTTGGGTGCTGGAGCTTGGGAGAAACAGCCCTGGGGCCCTGGTGGCAGCTTTGGAGGCAAGGAAGAACCGAAGAAGAAGAGAACAACTCCTCCTATAAGCTCTTAGAGCTCCGCCTCCGCCGCTGAGCCGCTCCATCCCGCCCTGCAGGGCCCGCTGGCGACGGAGCGAGCGTTTCTCGTCGCCGCGGTGGCCCTCCATCCCGCCTTGCTTTCCCGGCTCAGCGAAGAGCTTCGCTCAGACCGAGATTTCTTGCTGGAGGCCTGGAACTCTGGAATGCTCGCCTCCCGCAAATCTATGCCTTCTTGTAGAGGTCCTGAGCCAACGCGGTGGTGCTTTGGCCGGGTCTTTGGTGCACAGCAGCTCCGTCCCTCCGTCCGGTGCATGTTCTCCTGCTTCAGGCTGCGTTCCCGGAAGAAGCTCGCGCAGACAAGGAGATGGTGATGATGGCGGTCAGCAGGCGGTTCCGCGCATCGCGCTCGCGTTCCGCGCTCGCGTTCCGGAGCGGAGTGGCTCTTGCCGGCGAGGTCCGGCGGAGCGCTGGAGTTTGCCTCCGAGGCGCTGCGTGAGGATCGGGAGGCGCCAGGGCCGCCAGCAGTGCCGCGACGCTTGGGGCGACGCGGATTCCGCGTGTTTGCTCGAGGTGGTGCAGGCAGCCGTGCTGAACGGGGCACCCGTGCCTCCAGCCTTCAACAACGACCGTGAGTTGGTGCTTGAGGCACAGCCGCATAGCGCTGCAGTGACTTTGCACAAGATGCTGAGCCGCTCCTGCGCTGCGGGAGGCTGTTCGCTTGGACGGCTTGGCCTTGGAACTCGCCAGCAAGGAGCTCCGCGATGACGAAGAGGTAGGATCTACACTGGTCACCACGGTCACCACGTACCAGAATCTAGACCAGTGCGCTCTTTGCCATCTCGAGGTGGTAATGACAGCAGTGCAACAGAATGGCCATGGAATCAGGCTCATCCGGGGTTGATCTAGCGGTGTGTCGTTACCAGAGAATGTGAGTGTTGGAACGCAGCAGCATTCCTCGGTTTCAGCAGAGGCCCGAGGTGCCAAACCCGTCAAAGCCATCAAATGGCCATGGGGAAACGACCTCATTCATGCTGTTGAAGCATGGACACTGATGGAACCTGTGAATGGAGGCCCTGCAGTGGCGACTGCAAGAAGGATAGGGCATCATTATGCATTCACAGATTCGGTCTCAAGAAGCATTGAAGCTGAGGCGGTGTATGATATATTTATCGTACAGTGTGCAAAGGCTGAGCGCACTAGCAACAGATGCTCCGTCCTCGCTTCGTGAGTCCTCTGCAGGTGGGCTTCGCGTCGACTTCGATCCAACAGGACGGGGAGCAACACATCGAATGCTCATGTCACGGAAAGCATGGCGCGCGAAGCTCGCGCGGAAAGTGGATTCTTCGGTCGTGTTGATTCAGAAGTCCGTTGCTAATCGGCAGTTTGAGGGAAACCTCGTATCTTTGACTTGGGCGCAGAATCCCTACGAGTGTCGACCAATACCAGTGGTTACCAGCATTCGAGCCACACACAGCTGTTCATGGCAGCCACCGTCGTTTTGCGGAGCTGCTTCAACCCACTGGTTTGACGAAGTGCCTTATCATCCATGCCCTTGCCAGTCGGAAGCATGCTCATCCCGTGTCACTTCATTGGGCTGTGCCTTTCCTGGACAAAGTCGCGCAAGGCTATTCGGCTACGTAACCGCTCTGCACTCTTCTCGTTGCTTTGCGTACATGGGTCTGATTCCCTGATGATTCGATGCTCTTGTACACGAGTTTTACGCGTTGTCTCACTCAAAGTCGGCCGTAACACACAAAAGTGCAGCCGGCAAATAATCAAGAACGCCCTCCCCGGGATCCTTTTACTCAGTCCACGTGCCTGTGAGCCCATCCTGCGGACAGCAGCTGGGAAATTATGTGGAGTTCGACACCAACCCCACTTGGAGCTGCTGTCCGTCTACTCACAGGACTCTCGCGCTTGCAGGCGAGCTTCCTCAAGAACTTGCTCCTTCGCTCGCGCTCGATCTTTACATTTGCGCTTGCGAAAGCCAGCCACTTCACGGTCAAACTCCAAGCACCGCCCTTCATGACCATGTCCCGGACGGGATTGCCGTACTCCTTGGTCAACCGTCCACAAAACATGGGTGGCATCCTTCCAGTCGCCGAAATGAAACACTCGGCGAAGTTCCTCGAGCACATGTTCCACGGCCTTGGCGAAGGCCATCCTCAGATCATCAACGTGAATCGAAAGGATGCCGCGGAGCCGTCCATCTTTGTGCAAGACGAAGGTGCCCGGTGACAGTCGCAGTTCCTTGAGGCCGAGAGAAATCAAACCTCGCTTCAGCCTCAAGTACCATAGGCGGTCGGCACGGATGCTCCCATGTTTTCTTTCCCCGAGTCGATGGCGTAAATGTTCGCAGACTTCAGGAGGGTATCCTTTCGGCATCTTGATATAAACAACTCGATCAGCATCAAGGTGTTCTCCTTGCAAGAAGGCCGCCGAAATGTCCACATACTTGAGTCGCCATCCCATCTGTGCGCAGATGAAACACACCAGGTTGTGGCCCACCAAACTTGCCGTAGGAGTCTCCGTGGCGTACTTGCCCGCCTCCTTATCGAGGTGACCTGCCAAGACCCACCTAGCTCTGAGGTTCACCTTGGTCAGGTCAGTTTCGTCATTCTTGTTCGTGAGCACGAACCTCGATGGAAAGGCTTTCTCTGGGGGCACGGGCATTCCCAAGGGCACGGGTTCGATGGCATCGTTGTCCGCATACACGTCGATTGCCTTCTTGAGCGGCGCGATGAAAGCTTCTTTCCAATCCGGGCTCAAGGCATTCCACTTGAATTCCTGCCGTGGCTTACCCGTGACAGGCTCCTCGATCACTTGTTGGGGGATCACCGTAGAGGCTTCAGTGATCTTCTCCTGCAGGTGGTCCGTCAACTCGGTCACGTCCATGGCATAGGCTGTGATTGTGGGGTCAACACATGCGGGGATGCTTCAGAACCACTAACCCTACTATAGTGGGTGGGTACAGGAGAAGCCATCAAGCCTGCCTGGGACTGACCTTGCCCCCAAACCTGAACCTCGCCTTCACACCTGAACCCACACCCGCACGCATGCTCTTACTCAAACTTCTCTTTCACTCGTGACTTGAGCCACCATCCGCAGTGGCATAACCTTGGTACACTTCTCGATTTGTGCGCCATCTTGGTACACTTCTCGGTTTGTGCACCTCGGACAGGGGCCATGCAGCTTGGTACACTTCTCGGTTTGTTGATGCACTCACACTCCTCCTCGAACATTCCAGCTTTGATGGTATGTTCGCCTCCGGAGTGCTGGACAAAAACATGCATAGGCTGTACTAAGCAGTGGCTTTTCCACGCCTCATTTCAATCTCCTACTCGCCCTCTGGTCAAGCCAATCTTTTCAGCGTGCTGCTCCAGCTTAGCTCGATTCAACGACTTCGTCAGCATGTC